CCTCCGGAATGGTGACCTAGTGTTGCCAAGTGTGATGGTACTGACACCTGCTTTGTGTCCAACCTTCCAAAACAGGGACACAGCTTTCAAGTCCCTTGGGTGCCTTTCTCAATCCCAGTCTCACGTTTAATGGCTTTAACAAGGCTGGACATATATCTCATACCTTAATAAGTCATTCATTCAATCATTACATTTTTTAAGTATAAATTTAGTGTTGGGCCCCCTGGACTCCTCTGTTATCTTTCCTTGCACTCCAGGTTTTCTCCATCATCCCTGCCTCCAATCTCATTTGTTACCCCCTACTCCCCTTTGTTGGCCTCCCTACCTAGTCCTTCCTGTCACCCTGCAGGTCATGGTAGAAGCCCTGATTTTGATATGGGTTAGAGACTGAATCAGGGAGTCAGGAGTATGGGGCATATCTGAGTCTATCTGTGAGCAGCAAGTGGATCCTGTCGGCCTAATCTCCTTGTGACAGTCAAACTGCAGCTTATCCTCTCTTCTCTTCCCCCTCCATACCTACCTTCCCATTCTTGCCCAGGGTCTTATTCTGCCTACCCATGACTCCCACCCCAGCTGTTCTCTCAATGCACACACTGCCAGGCTCACTCAGTCCTGTCCCCCAAGGGATCCCCAACAGTTGGGATGCCTGCCACACCCCTTCTGCAACCCTCCTCTGCAGAGTCATTCAGCCCAACCACCCAGAGCAAAGCAAACTCAGCGAGGCTTCACCTCAGCCTCCCAGCTCTTTCCCGTAAATGCACTCACAGCCAGGAGGGGTGCCATATTAAATCAAGAGTGATGGAAACCAGTGGCTGTGATTATCCAGCCAAGATGCGGCATGGGAAGCTGGTCGCTGCCAGCTCCAGGTGAGGGCTTCTGAAGTTAATTGTGCATGGCTTTTATTAAGAAGATGCTCACTCCCCCACTCCTGCTCTCCTGGGTGACTTCTTCACAGTGCCTATTCAGTCTGGCGCCCTCTGCTTCTGCAGCCTGAGTTACCTGCCTTATCATCTCCTCTAGTGGAACCCCATTAAAGCAGAGCCTGTGGCCTTCCTCCCCGTTTCTCAGAAACAGAAATAGTAGTAGCCTGTATATGTGGAGCCATTGCCAAACTCCTTCTCCCATCCTTCCTCCTCTCTCCCAGATAGAATATACACAAACAAAGTATTTTCCTTTTCCAGTTTTCTCCACTGGCTGGCCTTTAACAAGGCTGGACACATATCTCCTACCTTAATAAGTCATTCATTCAATCAGTATATTTTCTTATGATAAATTTAGTGCTAAGCATTAGGGAAAGAGCACAAACCAGTAATCTTCTACCTGGCTTATTTCCAGTGTCTTATACATTTTTATCAAGAAGTTTGATCCATTTTCAGAGATTTTTCCAAATTGGTTTTGGTATTTGGGACTCCAGGCTGTATAGAATCAAGATGTGCTAAGATTGAGTCCATGGTTTGAACCTTTCACAAGACCATCTAGAAAGCTCCTGAAAACCCACCAGTTCATGCTGCAATCTTCCCCACCCCACATGTCATCCCCATAGAAGTCAGCCTCTTTCCCTTTGCCTAAGAAAATAACAGGAATATTAGACAACCTAAAATCGTGACATTAAAGAGTTATAGGAAGTAGAAATGTTTCCCTGAAGAAGACTTAGGTAGACCACAATGGTCATACCCAAATCAACACAGTGGAAATAAAAGTCATATTGGGCTTTGCCTAGAACAAAGGGAAAAGATATGTTCTGTGAGACCCCATAGAACAACTGATGGAAAATACCTAGAGGCAGAGTTCTCTACCAGGTAAAGAAAACTGACAGCCAAAGATGAGCCACCTCAGGCAGTAGAGACACCTCTAGAACCCAGTTAGTGTTGAGACTGTACACTGCAGACCTAGGGTTTCTAGAGGAGGGAGCCTCAAGAGCTGCTTCTGGGGCAATGGTGACACCCAAGTGAGGTTGGCTCCTGCCTTCTGCTTGAGCCAAAGCAACTCTTTTTATCTGTGGTGCTCCATATGTGATTAAATTGGTTTAACATATTCTGGTACCAAAAATAAAAAAGCACTGGGTTAGACCATCAAAATGCAGTGAAGGAGAAAGGAAGCAGCATTTATCAAAGGCCTAAGAAGAGAGAGGTAATACACTAGCCATTTGAGTCACGTGATATACATATATGCAATTGCTATGTGCCAGAGACTCTGTAAGTATTTTACATAGATTATCTCCTTAAGCCTCACTGGAGTCCCACAAGATAAGTATGAGGACTATCCCATGTTCCAGTGAAGAAAACTAAGATTCAGATTGGTGGATTAACTTCTCCAGGTCAGCTAGCTAGTAAGTAGATGAGGCTAAGTGTGAACTCAGGTCTGTCTGGAGCAAAGCATGTTCTTTTTGTCACACAACTTGCCTCACTGTGAGCCAGAAGAGAGAACAAATTTCAGATGGGGGGGGACAACTACAAAAATTAGAGGAGACACTGTGTATGTAAAGTGCTGAGTGCAGTGCCTGGCAGATAGTGGCTATTCCACAGGCAGTAGTTTCCTTTATTCAGGGAGCACCACATATTGACTTCTGTGAGCCAGGCCCTTTGCTAGATGCTAGAACTATAGAAATGAATAAGACATGGTTTTTGTAACTAAGGGCCTCACAGTCGAGGAAGAGAGACAAACGGGAAGTTAATTAAATATAACAGGATCCCAGGGGCTGGGGTAGACGTAAAGCCTTACAACAGGCTCTGTAGACAGTACCATATTTAAGTTGAGATCACCAGGGCACGTGGAAGTTGGTGAGAATAGAGAAGACTTTTGTGGCAGGTTAACAGTGGCCCAAAGGACCAGAGGCAGGAACACTCTGGGACTCATCACTGAGGAGAAGTGAGGTATCTGACATCACAACTCCTTGCAAGCCAGCTCCCTCAAGCACCTCCCATGGCCTGCCAACTGCAAGCTGGCACTGTCCCAGCCAGTGTGTGTACATCTACCATCAGAGCCTTCCAGCCCAGTGGACCCGAGTGCTGAGCAGGGCTGGGTGGGCAGGGAGGAGGAAGAAGCAGATATATGGCTGGAGTCGGCAGAGCCAGGTGATGTATGTGGTGCCTGAGGGAGCTGCACAGTGACACTCTGGATTCCAACCAGCAAGCTTCACTCCACTGGGATCGGCGCCGAATTATTGCTCCATATGAAACACCAGGACTGATGGGAGCTTTCAGTTACAGACTGATAGCAACAGCCAAAATTGGATTGTTTGCTATTTATTTTTTTTAACTTCTGTCAAGGTCACTACCGTAACAGGAAAACACTGCCCAAGTAGCAGGTATTTTTTATCCACTCTGCCCACAAGAGCAATCTGCAACTACAACTTTTGTGACAGAGCCTTACTTTGACAGCTCTCCTTCCAGAAAGATGTAAGCATTACCGGGGCTTGGGGGAAAAGAACCTCCTGAAGACCTGTTCTTTCCTTCTCAGTCCAAGATCTGCTTCCTCCCTGTTCCCCCCTGCTCCCAACCTCCACAAATGTTCTATCATCAGGCCCACACCCTTGCCCCTCCCTGCCTGCTCTCCAGACAGTCCCACAGCTCCCTCCTGGCTCAGTCCTCCAGCTTCTTCAAGCCAGCTCCCAGAAAACCCTCCAACAAATGTTCCTCATTTATGTGTCCTTCCCGTCTCTGTACTCGTACACCACACAGTCTAGCTGTTAATTCTCTCCTCTGTCTCTATCATTTTTGCAGACACTCACCAGATGTCCCCACTGTGCCAAGACTTGTGCTAGAAATAGCAATGACTAATAGATAGCACCTGCCCTCAGGGAGCTCATAATTGATTTAGAAGACAGACTTACAAACATTCAACAAACTTGTTTTCAAGTAGGTTTTTGTTTGTTTGCTTTTTAGTGAAAGGTACAGTGCTAGATAAGCATCTGTGCTTTGAAAGCTTGAGGAAAATGACACCTGTATACAGGCCCTGCCTCCGCTTCCTGACTTAGCTCCCCATGGACAAGGCTCAGCTCCTCTTACTTTGTGAAGTGGATGATGCTCAGGGCAGGACATGTCAGGACTCAACCTAGACTAGAACTCCCAGAAGACAGGGCACAGTTCTTCTTCCCCCACCCCACCCTTTCATCATGGCCATGCACAAGACTGGGCATACAGCAATTGCTTAATAATTATCTTTAATTGAAACGTAGTATCATTGAAGTGGAAGGTGTTCCTAGCACTGGTTTGAAAACCAAAAAGGTTTTTAAGAGGATAGGAGGAAAGGGAAAGGGATTAGTATTTAATTAAGCACTTATTCCATGCCAGTCTTGTTATATCATTATATATATAATCTTATATCATCCCCAATTTACAGAGTAGAATACTGAGTGAAATAACTTGTTCCAGGTGATGAGCACATCTTTTTCTTTTTCTTTTTTTTTGAGTCAAAGTCTCACTCTGTCACCCAGGTTGGAGTGCAGTGATAAACTCACGGCTACCAAATCCTTGACCTGCTGGATTTAGGTGATCCTTCTTCCTCAGCCTTCCAAGTAGCTGGAACTACAAACACGCACCACCACACCCACCTAATTTTTTTGTTTACTGTAGAGATGACATCTAACCAAATTGTCCAGGCTGGTCTCAAGCCCCTGGGCTCAGGCAATCCTCACACTTCCGCCTCCCAAAGTGCTGGGATTACAGACATGAGCCACCATGCCTGACTGATAAGCACATCTTATTAAGTGTTAAAGCTGCAATCTGACAGGTCCTCTATCAGACTCCAGAGGCAGAGGTTAATCTACTAGCAGAGTGAGCCAGGATACTGAGCGGTGGCCACCTGATGGGGGAAATGACATAAGGGCCAGGACAAAGGGGAGTGGAAAGGACTGTATCAGCCTGCAGTGGCCATTAGAGCTATGTGGCAGGATTCTAAGAGACCCAGACCTGTGATTTTTGCCCTAAGTTGGTAGGTAGACTAAAACTAGGGTCCTTCTGGGCCCAGCACCCCTGAGCATTTGCCTTCTCTCCCCACAGTACCAGGAGAAGCAGCGAAAACGTGAGGCCGAGGAGCGGCGCCGCTTCCCCCTGGAGCAGCGACTGAAGGAACACATCATTGGCCAGGAGAGTGCTATTGCCACAGTGGGTGCTGGTGAGTTGTGGGACCTAGCCAGCACCAGAAAGGGCAGGATCACTCATGCTCTGCTGCAGTGGGGTGGAGAGAAGCAATCAATCATATTAAAAGTTAGCATTTGTTGAATACTGTCTATATGCCAGGCATTGTTAAAAGTTCTTTGTATATTTTGTGTCATTTAATCCTTAGAGCAATCCTATGCGATTGATACCACTAAATCCCTATTTTATAGATGAGGAAGCTGAGACACAGAGCTCTTAAATAATTTGCTCAAGGCTACTTCCTATGCTTAGAATTTAACTCTGACCTTCATCTGGTCCACTACCCTCAACCCCACTTTTCAGGTGGGAGTATTAAGCCCCAGAGAGGGACAGGAGCTTGTCTGTCACTAGTAACAGGTGAGCCAGAACTAGAACTTATGACTAGTTGTCAGCCTGGGACTCTTCTATCACTTATGTGAAGGTTGTCAGCAGCTGGCCCAATTTTAGAGAAAATACCTGAACAACTTTTAAGTGCCCTGTTCTCTAGCTCTGAAGCTCTTATTTCCATATTTTGACCCCTGGGAGCCAGACTACCCTCTGGTGTAACCCCTAATCTAACAACCATCCTACCCATGCAGACCCCACTGGAAAAATTTATAAAACTAGGGTTCTGAAGATAGTGGCTTCACTTTTGCTCTCCAGCTCTGGTGCATGACTCTTCAATGATGATTTCAGATAAGAAGCAAGGGAAGAGGAGCCCTAGGCCAGGCCAAAACAGAGCTATGTCCCCCAAGGCGGTGGTTCTCAAAGCTTGGTCTCTAGACCAGCAGCATTAATATCCTCTGGGAAATTGTTAGAAATCGATCTCGAGCGGGGCTCAGTGGCTCAGCCTGTAATCCCGCACCTTTGGGAGACTGAGGTGAGTGGATTGCCTGAGCCCGCGGGTTCGAGACTCGCCTGCGCAGCAAGATCTCATCTCTACAATAAATCAAAAAATCAGCCGGGCGTGGTAGCGCATGCGTGTAATTCCAGCTACTCAGAAGGCTGAGGCGGAAGGATCGCCAGAGCCCAGCAGGTCGAAGCTGCGGTGGCCGGGAGCGGCCACTGCATTCCAGTCTGGGCGACAGAGTGAGACTCCAACTCAAAAAAAAAAAAAATCGATCTCAGGCCTCACCCCACACCTGTAGAATCAAAACTCTGGCATCTGTGTTTTAATAGACCTTTCAGGTGATTTTGAGGCTCAGCTGAAGTTTATTTTATTTTATTATTTATTATTATTATTAGTGGTAGTAGTATATTAGTATTCAGAGTCTTATTCTGTTGCCCTGACTGGACTGCAGTGGTATCATTACGGCTACCGAAGCCTTGATCTCCTGGGCTCAGGCAATCCTTCCACCTCAGTCTTCTGAGTAGCTGAGACTGCAGGTACTCACCACCATGCCTAGCTAATTTTTTTATTTTTTGTAGACACAAGGTGTCATTATGTTGCCCAGGCTAATCTCAAACTCCTAGGCTCAGGCAGTCCTCCTGCCTCAGCCTTCCAAAATGCTGAAATCACAAGCATGAGCCATCACACCCAACCTAAACTGAAGTTTGTTTTTGTTTTTTGGGGTTTTTTTTTGAGCTGGAGTCTCAATCTGTCGCTCAGTCTGGAGTGCCGTGACACACTCACGGCCCCGCAGCATCGACTTACTGGGCTCTAGCGATCCTTCCACCTCAGCCTTCTAAGTAGCCAGAACTGCAGGTGTGTGCTGCCATGCCTGGCTAATTTTTTTATTTATTGTAGAAATGAGGTCTCACCAAGTTGCCCATGCTGGTCTCGAATCTGCAAGCTCAGGCAATCCATTTGCTTTGGCCTCCCAAAGTGCTGGGATTACAGGCTGAGCCACTGAACCCAGCCTAAACTGAAATTTTGTTTTTTGTTTTTTGTTTTTGAATTGGAGTCTCACTCTGTCGCCCAGACTGGAGTGCAGTGGCCGCTCCCAGCCACCGCAGCCTCGACTGCTGGGCTCCGGTGATCCTTCCGCCTCAGCCTTCCAAGTAGCCGGAATTACAGGCATGCGCTACCACGCCTGGTTGATTTTTTGATTTATTGTAGAGATGAGGTCTCACTGCCCAGATGGGTCTCGAACCCGCGGGCTCAGGCAATCCACTCACCTCAGCCTCCCAAAGGCGCGGGATTACAGGCTGAGCCACCGAGCCCGGCTAAACTGAAGTTTTAAAGGCCACTGTCTTGAAGTGTCCCGGTCAGTCCCACTTCCACATTGCTTACCTCTTCTCTCCAGCCATCTAGTCCCACAAGAGGCAGCCCAGCGACTACTCAGGACCACACCAGGTTCTGCTTACTGAGAAAAGACACCATGAGGCTAAAATTATGGCTACCCCTCTGGGACATTCGGGGGCAGCATTGTCGGCTCTAGGATACCCATCAGAGAGTGACTGAAAACTGAAGGCAGCTGTCCCTGTGACACACTGAGCCTGATCTCCATCATCCTCTCATACCAGTGTAGCTCACATGGGAATTATGAGTCGAGTCCCTCCTCAGGGGCCTGACCCCATCAACAGATAAAAAGAACCCATAGACTACAGCTGCCTCACCAAGCAGGGGTCAGAAGGCAGCCTGCAAGCATACACAGGAGCCAGGAAAGCTTTTTTGAATACACAGGGCCCTGCTGCTCAGGCCCAGACCACACCAAGCTGCCTTTTTGGGTTTGGACCAGGCATCCATCCCCAGCTGCCACTTTACAGGCGTGGCCAAGACTGTGTCTGAGGTTGAAAGGAGGCTCTGGGAGCTCTCATGGGTTAAGGAGCAACGTTACCTGAGTGGAGGTCTAAGGAAGCATCTCTTGCTGGAGTCTCCTGTCCACTTGGGCCAGGACTGCAGCTGCCATCATAGTGTTTTCACATAACCCTTTCCTGGCAGCTGCCTGCTGTCTTTCCTGCTTCTCACCAGCTCCTCAAGCCCATCAGATGTGAAGCCCCCCCAGAAGTAGGGTTTGAGGGGAAACAACCTGGGCTTACCAGTCATGCAGCTCAGCCTACTCACTTAGCTTCTCTGAGCATACTTTCTCACCTGTGTAATGGGGTGCCACATCCAGGACTGTCTGACTCTAAAGCCAGCATGTGCCATTGTTTCCAGCATGTGCCAGACAGCAATGATTAAAACCTAGTCTTATTTTCAAGATGCTCAGTCTTGGGTGGGTCCTGTGGTCTTTAGGTGAAGCCAACAGCTATTTCCTTCATCTGAGGACTGATTCTTAACCCCAGCCCCAGCTCACCTCTTCTCCTGGTCCTGTGCTAACCTCTGATGCATCATCCATCTTATCTCTTTTTCGTTGGTTCAGAGCAAGAGTAGATAATTTAGCTCCCCACCTCCAAGAGCTGTCAGAATAAGTATCCTGAGTGTTTCCTTCTACCTAAAGCTCCTATTCTGTCACCTGAAGTCTGCATCAAGTCACAAGTTCAATGGCCACCCAGGAAGGCCCTACTCCTATGGTATGTAGGTTGGTCCTGCTTTGGCTCCAGTGACCCTATAAAAGACAGAGAGACCACTGGGGCCTGGGTTGCGGGGTTGGTGCTTTTTGTAACCTCCATCTCTAAAGCAGTTACTGCACCCATCTTGCTGAGAAACTCTGCGGCTGGAGATCACAATGATAATGTTCAGAGCCAGGGGCTCCCAAACCCAAGCATGAGGGAGTAAGGCAGGCTGGTGGTTGCAGCTGCCAGCGCAGGCAAAGCATGAGGTATTCTCTGGATCAGAATTTGTGGTAGGCAAGCAGCACCCACTACCTCAGAACCTCAAACTGAAGCAGGTCCAGGAGAGTGAGGCTGGGTCCTCCAGGCTACTGTCACATATGTGTGAGGGAATGGCTGGATGGAGCCTGGCACCCCATGGGTACCATGAGGATGGGCAGCCAGAAAAGTGCCGCAGAATGAATTGATTTGATAAATGGCCATTTATTACCCTCACGAATTGGCTGAAACCAATTTCGGTCACATCAACCCCTGGTAAGTGCTGGGATATTGATTTGTGCAAAGTAATACAGTGAATTTATCAGTGTGATCCCCAGCTGCAGGGCCTCTAGCAAGGCTGGTGCACAGTTACCGCCTTACAAATAGAGGGGGTAAAGCACCAACCCTATAGCCCAGGCCCTGTGGCCTCTCTGGTCTAGAGTCAGTGGAGCCAAACCAGGGCCAACCAACATACCACAAACCAGAGCCTCGGCGCCGAAAGGGGAGGAGCTCACTCCAGAATCCAGAGCTGCTCTTGGTCATGGGAGGTGCCCACCCTGTTGGACAAACCTCATGTAAGCTCAGCACCTCTGTGCTCCACCATACTCCTCAGAAAGGCAGTCAGCTACCTCTTCAGCACATTCAGAACCAGATTCCTCCCCCTCCCCAGCCTACCACCTCCTGTGTTCTGATCTGTGTGAAGGAGCCTCCATTCTCTGGTCTCCTAAATAGAAACTTAAATGTTCCTCAGCTCCTCCTTCCCCCTGACTCCTTACAGCCCATAAAGGATCAAGTTCTATCATTCTGCCTCCCAAATGGTTCTCACACCTCGCCTTCCCTTTGTTCTGATACCACTGCACTAACTGCTAGTGTCACCCATCAGAGTCAAATGCTAACTCAAGAAGCTAGTGTCACCCATCAGAGTCAGCATCCTCACTGGTGTCCCTGCCTCCTATCCTCCCCAGCCCCCACCCCCTCAGAATCAGTTCTTCTCACCAGCTGGACTGATCTTTACAAAACACATATCTCACATTGCCACTCCCCTACTTAAAACTTTTTAGCGTTCCTTGCTGCCCTAACTTGGCATGCATGTCTGCTGCTGTTCCCTGCTTTGTGCTGCAAACACCAGCCACAGTGTTCTGTCTGCCTCCCAGCACATGCTGCATTGATTTCCTGCCTGCACTTGTCACTGCTGCCCTCTCGCTTGCAATCCTTTTCTTCTGTCCCTTCCCCCACCCCACCCCACCCCAGCCTATGTCCCACCCACTGGCTGATTTTTACTTAGTCTAACTCAGTTCAGGAGCC